CCTTGTACCTTTCAATGGTGCCATCAGCTCGATATTTGATAGTAAAGACCCACTTGCAACCGACTGGATCCTTCCCTTCAGGCAAATCAACCACTTCCCATGTGTCATTCTTGTGTAGGGCATCAATTTCAGACCTCATAGCATCCCTCCATTCTGGAATATTAAGAGCTTCTGACACAAACCTGGGAATAGGGTTAGAAGTAACAGAAGATAGATAGACAAAGTATGAAGGTGAAAACAACCTGTAAGAAAGGTGCTTGGAAATGCAGTGAGCAGTGCACTTCCGTTTTCATTTCCTAACAGCAATGGGAATATCAAGGTCAGGGAAGGATGACTCCAAGGGTGCTGAAACTGTACCTGTTGTCTCATCTGTGACTAGAAGTGTATGAGGCTCATGTGTTGTAGGAGAAACAACCTGCTCATTTCTAGATCTTTGCCTTTGATACACCTTGGGATTGAGGATAGGACGAGAAGGTAAAAGTGGAAGAACACTGGGACAGGGACACTAAGGACTAAGGGCTTAACTGATGAGCTTCTAGCCCAAGCTCCAAAACTTTGGCCTGATCTCTTGTCAGCAGGCCCTACCAAGTCATCATACCATACCTCAAGGCCTACCAAGTCATCATGCCTTGAGGTATGGTATGATGACTTGTCAGCAGGCCCTACCAAGTCAAGGCCTGACTTGGTATGATTGGGATTAACTGAATTGGTAGGGCCTGAACAACCAACCTCTAAATTTGACATGGAAGATTTGGCAATGGTATAAAGCAAGTTGAGCATGACCAAGACAAAGAAATCTAGCATAGTACAAGGCAACTGAAGCAAGACTCAGATCGGGTCGATCAGGACCCCATCATTGAATTAGAATTGGCATAGTGCATGGTAAGGAAAGCTAAAGCCTAAGTAGGCTGACCCATAGACCATCGTGAATACAAGCACTGAAGTTTGGTAATGACACAATGATGGTTAAACAAGACATAAATGGAATTAACCAAGATCCCATCATTAAAACAAAAGTCTAGCATGACACAAGGCAGGTAAAACAAGAACCTCAACAAACCAATTTGGAACCCAACCCCATCATAGAAATAGAAGACTAGCATGGCATAGGACAGGAAAAGAGAG